GAACTACTGACCCTGAGGTTCGCAGGCCGATTCATAACCACTACGCTACCAGAAGCGTCCATTTAGATGAAATACAAATTTGTTGTTGTTAGGTGCCGTCGAGTCAGTGCTGACTCATAACGACCCTATGCACCACAGAACGAAACACTGCCCAGTCCTGGGCCAATCTCACCATTGTTGCCACACTTGAGCCCACTGATGTTTCCACTGAGCCAATCCATCTCATTGGGGGTCTTCCTCTTTTTCTCTGACCCTCCACCTTACCAAACATGATATCCTTCTCCAGTGACTTGTCCCTCCTGACAATATGTCCGAAATATGAGAGACGAAGTATGGCCATCCTGGCCTCCAAGGAGCACTCTGGCTGCACTTCTTCCAACACAGATCTGTTGGTTCTTTGGGCAGTTCATGGCACTTTCAGTATTCTCCTCCAACACCATAACTCAAAGGCATCAATTCTTCTACGGTCTTCCTTATTCACTGTCCAGCTTTCACATGCATATGAGGTTACTGAAAATGCCGTGGCTTGGGTCAGGAGCACCTTAGTCCTCAAGCTGACATCTTTGCTCTTCAACACTTTAAAAAGGTCTTGTGCAGCAGATCTGCCCAATGCAATACATCAATAGAGACAAGACAGCAGATTAGTGGTTGTCTACAGGTTTGGGTACAGGGGGAATGAAGAGAGACTGCTAATGAGTATAGCGTTTCTTTATGCTGCTGCTGAAAATACTTTGGAATGTGTTAGACGCTGTAGAGTTGCTTCTGACCTAGATTGAGCCCAGGAGACTGGGTAGAACTGCTTCAAAGGGCTCCCTAGGGTGCCATTGTTGCAGGAACAAATCACCAGGTCCTTTCTTCTGCAGAACTTCTCACTGAGTGGGTTTGAACTGCCAACTTTCCAGTTAGCAGCCAAACACTATAAAGCATTGCACTACCAGGGTGTAAAAAGTGCTGATTCAAGACTTTGTGAATGTACCAAAAAACAGGAAGTATATATTTTACAAAGATGGTTGTTCTTAAAGCTGCTATTAAAAAAATTGCACAAAAAAGAGTGGGTTCAGGTGCCCCTTGATTTATGGATCGTATCAGACCACATGATGGGGCTGATTACATCATTATGTAGCTGGCAAACCACTGAGAATCATGGTCTACCCAGTTAACACACTACTGTAACCATCAAGAGACACTACGATGGAGAGAATACTTTGCCTCATAGAATTGACCACAAAGTGCAATTCTCTGGTTTATTTCTTAGCATTGTTGTAGATCGCCCCAAATTAGTTTATAATCTATATAAGGTCAAAGACTGTTTGTCTTGTAGACTTTTTGGCCGCAGCTCACAGACTAGTCAGAGATCAGAGATCAATGAATACTGGTTAAGTAAGTGGATGGATGGATGGACAGATGGGTGAGTGGATGAACTGTTGTATGAATGGGTGAGAGGTATGATGGAGAGATAGCAGAGTGGATGTGGATGGATGGGTGAGTGAATGCATGGTGAGTGTAGATAGATGGTTTGGCGAATGAGTTAATGGGTGCATGGACGGATGGGTGAGGGGCTGTGTGTGTGTGTGTGTGTGTGTGAATTGGCCGGTGCATATATGTATGTAGCATGGAATGGATGGATGAATGGGATGCATGGGTGGGTGAACAGGTGAATGAGTGGCTAGTGGGATAGATGGACCCATGGGTGGATCTATGGATGGGTGGGTGGATCCATGGATGGGTGGATCTATGGATGGGTGGGTGGGTCCATGGATGGGTGGATCTATGGATGGGTGGGGTCTGTGGATGGGTGGGTCCATGGATTGGTAGACTGGTAGATGGAAGGAAGGAAGGATAGATGGACGGATGAGTTGCACAGATGAGTGTATCTATGGATTGATGGATGGGTGAATGGAATATGTCCGTATATATGTTTGCTGTTGTTAACTATCATCGAGTTGATTTCGACTCAGAGAGACCCTATAGACAGCAGAAAGCAACACGGCCCGGCCCTGCCCTATTCTCCCAATCCTTGCTGGGCTTGACCTCATCACGGTTTCAGCTACGGTATCAGTACATCTCACTGAGGGTCTTCTCTTTTACTGACCCTCTACTTCATCAAGCATGATGTCATTCTCCAGGAACTGGCTCCTCCTCATGACATGCACAAACATCTGAGAAGTCTCGTCATCCTCATGGCGAAGGAGGATTCTAGTGTGCTTACTTCTTCCAATCCAGCTTTGCTCTTTCTTCTGGCAGCCCAGAGTCAGAGGTTCATGAAGAGTCCTACCTCAACTCTTACTCCTTTTATAGTTGCTTCCAGTGCATGAGGCTCACAGCTTATATGGTTCCTTCACCACGAGAAAAGCATGAGCTGCTTCTGGACTTAGCATTTACTTAGAGGCTACTGGCTGACTGACTGTGGCCTGGATGTCCCTCACCGATGTAGCCCCACCAGCCTGGCTGGAGCAGTTACTCAGCACATGCATGGACAGTGACTTATGTGCACCGAGACACAAGAAACAGAGTGGACAGAGATTCTGGAGGCCAACTAATACAACCTTCTATGACACACTGGTAAGAGAACACTCAGCTCTCCTTGATTCCTTCTCATGCTGGAGAACTCATCACTTCCTGAGGTAACTAACTCCCTCGACCACTGAGCAGTTGCTATAGTTCCCAACAGCTTCCATTGTCTGAGCTATGGTGGAGCCACGCCATCTCACAGAGACCTCACACACTGCAGTACAAAACTGCTCCTCAGTAGGGTTTCAAGGCTGTGACCTTTCAGAATCAAGTTGCCAGGCCTTTATTCCAAGGGACCTCTGAGTGGGCTCAGCTGTGTTTAAGCGGAGTGCCTAACTGTTTGTACTATGTGTGTCCACATGGTCTTTAGTCCCTTCGGCCATCCCTGGTCAGGAGCAGCCACAGAGCTGTGTGCATACTTCCTCATTCATGTGTTAAGGTGTCTTGTCCCCTGTGTTCTCTGATCCAGTGGTGATGGGACCCAGCCTGCGGGCAGGTTGCCGCCAGATGCCTTCAGGCTTCCAGGTCACCCTTCTTGTCCAGCATCCACACAGTTGGGAGAGCCCTGGAAGCAAGGAAGGTGATGGCTCCAGGGACCACTGAAGGCATGTCCCCACCTGGCTTTGTAAAGTGTCCCCTGCCCACTAATGTGAATATGGGGGTGGGGTACACTTTGCCACGCAGCTTGCTGCTGCAGAAAAGATGAAGGAGACCCAAATCCAGACATGGCAGGACAAATGAAGAGAAATAAAGATACAGGTCAGACGTGGGTCCCCAACCTCTCAGCTCCTTTTGTGAATTGTGCAGGGGGCCCGGCCCCCTACCACAATCTGGCTTTATGCTCAACAAAGGACAAGACTCACAACGTCTGCAAAGACCCTGCAGAGGTGGGCGTGGCTTTCCTTATAAGTCATCTTGTTCATGAGGGGGTTACACTCGGAGGGGGACTCTCCAAAGACTTTAAAGCAGGCGCTCAAACAGTCGGGGGACCACCAGTGTTCACTGCAGTACCGTTCACAACGGCTAAAAGGTCGAGACAACCCAAGAGTCCAGCCACAGAGGAATGGACACCCAACGTGTGGCCCAGGCATCCTTACAATAGAGTAAGACTGCCACAAGGAGAAACAACGTTCTGATGCAGGTTACAGCGTGGGTGAACCTGGGACCCACAATGCTGAGCGAGAGACCAGACTCTGTGACCTCATATGGTAGGATTCCAGCTATAGGAAATGCCCATTGGGGTCTCCAGGGGCTGGGGGAAGTGCAGATGTGGGAGGTCTCCTTGAGGGGAGGAGAATGTTCTGGAACTCAATGGAGCTGATGTTAGCACCATGTGGTGAATACATGAAGTGTCAGTGAACTTTAAAATGGTGACTGTTACATTATGTGAATTTTGTCTTGATAAAAAGAACACATACACACACATACACTTAGCAGGTCTGGTTCCCTGCGGGCAGCATGAGGACATAGGGGTGTGGCCAGGTAGGAACCGCTTCCCCCTGCTCACTGCTCATGAAGCCATTGGTTGGAAAGAGAACAGTGTCCTGGTCCAACCAACATACCCTCTCTCACCAGACCTCGGCCCTACTGTCCTGTGCACCCGATCACCCCTGTGCCAGAAGGAAAGGCGTCCGTCTGGACAGCTGCAGATGTCCTCAAAGCACCTACTGCACAAGCCAGGGTCCTCTGGAAAATCTAGACCCTCTCCCTCTGCCCATTCCCAAAGCACGGGTTCAAGCCCAGCGCTCCCGTATGTGAGCCGGAGCCAGAGCTGGAGCTGGAGCGGGAGCCGCCAACTAGGAAGCTCCTGCCTGCTGGGGTCGTGGCCCGGCACCAGGAGCTAGCTCTTCCACACAGCTGCAGCGCGGGTGGAATGAGTCTGGAAAATGCAGACGGGGAGAAAGTCCCGGCCTCCGCTGCCTCAGTGCTGCTCCTGAGTGCCCAAACCAAACCCAAACCCACTACCGTCGGTGCTGACTCATACCGACCCTACTGGACAGACTAGAGCTGCTTCATGGGGTTTCTGAGACTGTAAATATTTATTGGAGCAGATGGCTTCATCTTTCTCCCAGGGAGCGGCTGGTGGGTTTGAACCACCAACTTTAGGGTAAGTAGCCAAGCACTTAACAAGCCAAGCAGGGACACACTGTCTCAATGCCACTTCTTCTACCTCCTGTGGTCAACTATCCTCGCCTTCCACATTCTTACAGTTTCTCCCCCAAAACAAGGTCACACTTTGCAAACGTCTTGGGACTATTTTCAGAACGACCTGTACAATGGTCCTACCTGAACCCACGCTGCAGACCACATGGTGGCTACCTCCGTGGCGGGGTCTCGGAGAGGCAGCGTTCATCATCCTAGTACACATTTGAGTTTACGGTGCACACCCAGGACATGTCAACGCTCCACACGGAATGGTCCAGCACCCCCAGCGACAGGACGGGTGTCGTGCCCAGGTGGGAACCAGCAAACAAAGAAATGTGTCTTACCTGGTAGCATCAAAGCTGTCGTATGAGCCGACCGTATAGTGTCTGAAGAGTTTCTTGCTTCGGTCCACACGGGTCTCTGTACAGAGAGGAAGATTGAAGATGGTTTAGAGAGGTGGTGGGTGCTAACCACACGCGGCTGGCCAGGCCTGACCTCCTGGGGAAGTGCTGTGAGGAAAAGCAGGCCTGGTTCTGGGATTTAACTTTGTACAATGTGTTGGTGCACATGGAACCCAAGGCTGCTACTGGGAAGTTAGGACCTTTGTTCAAAGCAGAAGCAAAGTGCCCCAGGCCCTCGGCACGTGGGGGACGCAAGAGAGCCATACTGTGCTAAAAAGTAAGGCCACTGGCGCTTGGGCAGTGACAAACACAGCCCCCAAGGTACCATCATGAACAGCGTTCTGAAGTGAATCCTCTGAACCTGCAGAGGATGACCTTTGGGGGAGGGGGTGTAAAGTTAGCTGCTGTTTTCCTGATTACAGTTCCTTTCCCTTAAAAAAGAAAAAAGAAATCCCAAACCAAACACGATCCATTCCTAATTAAGTCTTCTGCTCATTTCTGGTTTCTCTAACTCAGCAGATTTAGACACAGACTTCATGGGATGGTATGAATGATGTAAATAGATTGAACAGAGAGCCGAGGGCTGGTGTCGGGAGGAGGGAGATTAAAAAAAAAAAATCACATCAAAAAACAAAACAGGAGCTTTGGGTTTAGTACTGAGTTTGCCCTGAAATACAATCTCCCGCACACATTCCTTATTCAACCCTGCAATTGGCTGTCATCTTATTAAAGCCCTCTCTGTTTGTCTGTCTCCCCAGTGCACACATCTGCAGTGCACTGGGAAGAACCAACACCTCCAAGCTCCTTGTATACCCTCCACCTATCAGGGAGCAGGAGCTCCGGTAGTGTAGTGGTTACAAATCAGCTTGCCAACCTCAAGGTCAGCAATTCGAAACTACCAGCCTTTTCGCGGGAGACAGATTAGGCTGCAGGGGCACAGAACTACCACCATCAGGGAGCGAGATCCTGTCCAAGACTACAATTCCCAGCTTCCCTTGCACCAGTTGTGACCATGTGACTGATTCTCACCAACGGAATGTAAGCTCAAGCAATGGAGGTTCCTTCCAAGCCACTCCCCCAACTTCTGCTAGCTTTAAGTCCCTAGAGGACAGTAGAGTCCTAAATTGGAAGGTGTCTTGTCTCTGTGTACTGGACTATCACAACAGAAAGAAACAAACCTTTACTGTTTAAAGACCCTAGAGGCACAGTGGATTAAGCTTTGGGCTACTTATCAAAACATTGGTGGTTCAAACGCACTAGTCTTTCCATGGGAGTCTGCCACCATAAAGATTTCAGTCTTTTTGAATGCACCAGGGAGTCCGCCACTCTGGGGAGCGCCCAAATGGCAGAGGCTTCATCTTCCTCCCTTCTACTCCCCAGGTTAAGTCACACAAGGGTGCAGGAGTTGGATGAAAGAATGGAAGTCGCTCCCAGATCTTCATACTCCCAGGGCGCAGAGGTTCGTCAGGTTAACCAGTATGTGGCACTGCGGGATAAGCACTAGACTGCAATGCCAATTTGATCCTCAGAAACCCTATATAGGGTCACTACGAGTCAAAACTGACTCCCTAGCACCTAACAACAATGAATAACTCAGAAAGTCTGGAGGTGCTTATTCATTCATTCATATGTTCATTCATTCATCCAGCTAGCAGCCTGTGAGCAGTGTTTGTGTTTGCTGTGAGTAGTTGGGTAGATTTCAACTCATGGGGACCCATAGGACAGAGTGAGGCTATGCCCTGGGCTTCCTAGGCTGGCATCTTTACAGGAGTACAACACCAGGCCTTTTCTCCCATGAGGTGGCTGGGGGTTTGATCTACCAACCTTTTGGCTATCAGTCAAGAGCTTCACCATTATGCTACGAGGGTTCCATAGAGGAAAAAAGATTATAGCCTCGGAAACATATTGTTGTTGTTAAGAGCCGCTGAGTCGATTCAGACTCTCTATAGGGTTTCTGAGACTTTAAATCTTCTCAGGAGCAGAAAGCCTCATCTTTCTCCAGTGGAGTGGAGGGTGGGCTGGAAGCGTGGACCTTGTGGTTTACAGTCCAGTGCTTATCCTAACCATGAGCCTGGGTAAAACCAGCGGCAACGCTGGGATCTAGAGTCCCTGGAAGCTTTGCTCTGAGGGTTGTCTTAAACTAACAAAACAAAACTGATTTGAGAGAATGAAGAACATTAAAACAAAGCACAGAAACGAGAATAAACAGCAAAGCTAGAAATTCCATTTTCATATATCTCCAGCAACAGATTGGGTGACGTACTTCAACGTGTCAGCAAGAAAATAACACTTTCTATAGAATGGTTCAGAAGCACACCCTCTGAGCCCGGGAGGAACCAAGGATGGACCACCCAGGGGCTCCAGGGACTCTTTGACCCCAGGGGACTGTGTGTCTAGAAAAGGGAAGAAGGATATTTGCTGAGAGGCCGGGTGGTGGGTGGTGGCTACGAGGTCTAATGAAATAAGCAAGGAGGCAGGGGCTGGGGCAAGACCCCTAACTTAGAATAGTCTGGTCCGTTCACTCCTGAGATGGTCCAGAGACTGGAGTTTAGACAAGACATGTGAGCTGAAACCTCCCACTTACTCTATGACAGATAGGAAACACCCTTTCCAAGCCTCAGTTTCTTCATCTGTAGCATGGGCCAACAGCAGGACCTGCCTTACATTGTGAAGATGAGGATGAAATGAAATAACCCTCTAAATAAGTCCCATCCCCAGCACTTGGCCCAGGGACACCTCCAGGTTCTCAGGGAACCTCTCTGCTGTTCTCATCTACAACCCTTTCCCCAAACGAGCACAGAGGAAGACCCTCGACCATACCTGCACTGTGTACCTTCCCACCAGAGCCCTGGGTGCTGTGAACAACAGTGAACCAAAGGTTGGAGGTAAATAGAAATGAAAGACCTTTGCAAAGACCAGACCAACTTTACGACAACCAAGGAGCGGCTGGTGAGTTTGAACTGCTGATTTTTTGGTTCAAACAGATCTTGAGGTCTAGTGCTTTTTCCCACGGTGCCACACCAGGACTTCAAAACAAACCTACAAGGCTGAAAATTGTTGTTGTTGTTGTTAAGCACCGTGGAGTCGGTTCCGACTCACAGTGATCCTGCACAGGGTTTCCGAGGCTGTAAATCTCTACGGGAGCAGAACACCTCATCTTTCTCCCGTGGAACCGCTGGTTGTTTTGAACTGCGACCTTGAGGTTAGCAGCCCGATTCGTAACCACTACGCTACCAGAGGGAACCAGAAACATCAATCTGTAAATAATAACAACTACAAAGCAAAAGGAAGGAATAAACTAGTGTAGTTTGCCTCGGTAGAAGGGCTTGCTGATGTTCTTCTGAGAAACCAGCCATGAAAACCCTAGGGAGTCCAGTCCTACTCTGACACCGGTTAAGGATAGCCTGAGTCCAGGCAACTGATTTATTCCAACAAGGAAGACGCGACCTGCAATTCTCAAACGCCCTCTAGGGGGCAGTACACCCCTCAATGAGACCCTCTCCTGGTCACCTTCAGGCAATTCTTGATGAGTTTTTGTCAAAGAGCAGCTATAGTGGCCAGATTGAGGCCAGTGGGTCTCAGAAAAACAAGGAGCCCCGGAATGTGACACAGGATGTGAGACTAACTGCCAAAGAAGAAACACTTCTGGGTCAGGGGTCAGGTCAGCTCACTCCACCACCAAAATGAAGAGGGGTTGCTACACCAGCCCCCCTGAGGGATTCTGTGTAAGTTTTTTTCTTCCTTTCCTCCAAAGTGCTCTACATCATTGTTGTGGTTAGGTGCCTTCAAGTCGGTTTTGACTCATATTACTCATATTGATCCTACGTGCGACAGAACGAAACACTGCCCAGTCCTGCCCCAACCTCACAATTGTTGCTACGTTTGAGCCCATTGATGCTGCCACTTTGCCAATCCATCTAGTTGGGGGTCTTCTGTTGCTATTTTTTAGTGGTTACGAGTCAGGTTGTTAATCTCAAGGTCAGCAGTTCGAAATCACCAGTTATCCCACGGGAGAAAGATACGGTTTTCTGCTCCCATAAAGATTTACAGCTTCGGAAACCCTATGCAGGGTTGCTATGGGTCGGAACCCACTCCACAGCACACAACCACCACCGCCACACTGCAGGATACACACTAGACTGTTAACCACAAGGTCAGCAGTTCAAACCCACCAGTGGCTCCTTGGAAAAATGCACGGTTGCTATGAGTCAGAACCGACTTCACAGCACTTAACAACAACAACACAGTTTAAAAAAAAAAAATTTTTTTTTTTACAATAAGCACAGACAAATTGGAACATTGCAAGATGCTGCCATCTATTCTGAAAAAGTAAAAGGGATATTGGTTCACAGTTTATTTGAAGGCCACCCACGGGGAGACATTTGGAAATACAAAAGGGACATTTGAACTCATGTGGATTCTGAACTTGTTAGTTCAGAAAGGGAATCTGGAGAGAGAAATTATAATTTATTGTTGTGTGCCACAGAGCTCATTCTGACTCACAGCACCCCTATGGGGGAGAAAACAACTGCCCCTTGGGGTTCCTGATGCTGTAGTCTTTACAATGGAGTCCTGATGTGGCGCAGTGGGCTAATATACTGGACTGCAAAGTCAGTTTGCACCACAAGGTTGGTGGTTCACCTCACTAAAACTGCTCCTTGGAAACCCTACACAGGGTCGTTACAGGTTGGGACAAACTGAACGGCACCTAACAACAACAACAATCTTTACAACAGAATGCAGAAGTCATCAAATAATATCACACCACACACACGTGAAAGCTTGCTGAAGATAATTAAACTATGGTTGCAGCAGTGTACGGACAGAGACATGGCAGAAATTCAAGTTGGATTAAAAAGTGGACGGGGAAGGAGGGATATCATTGCTGACGTCAGATGGATTTTGGCTAAAAGCAGAGAATACCAGAAAGGAATTTACTTGTGTTTTACTGACTATGTAAAGGCATTCAACAGTGTTGTTGTTATTGTCAGGTGCCATCAAGTTGGTACTGACTCATAG